AATAATGTTGCAACAACTATGTATAGTGCCAGGTGGGTACCAGACTAATTGTGGGGATCACTGCATAAATTACATAAATGTCTAACCACTATGCTGTACACCTGAAACTGATATAAAATAATACTGAATGTCAACAGTACTGAAAACAATAAATAATTTTTAAAAATGAGTTGACTAACAGTAGATATATAAAAATTAACTAATGTTATTAATAACGAACAGATAATAAGACTCATAAAGGTATAATTGAATAATGTGGGAAACTATGACTTATTCAGAAGTTGGGAGAGAACAGTCTCAGCCTTCTGTTGTGCATGCCCCTACTACTTATAATGATAAGGTTCGATGAAGTCAATGTTAAATTAAAGCGGGGCATCCAGTATATAGGACTTGATGGTATTGCAGGCAGAGAAAGGGGCTGCTAAGGGAGAAAGAAAATGGGAGGGGCTGCAGATATGACAACTCTATCACATTGTGTCTGTATCTTTCTAAGTCAGAGTCCTCGCTGTATCACCAAGTCTCTGTCACCTTGTAATTTGTCATAAGCTTCCTTGAAAGTGAAAAGAACATTCCTGCTACACTGCCTCTGAGATGCTACTATGGAAGACGGCCAACTGCAGCAAACCTGGGAAACAGCCTGTGCTGGATTTGATTTGGTGCCTACAGATTTAGAGCCTCGTTTCAGGGCACAGCTTGGTTTCCAAGCACTGACTGAGCCTCTCATGGAAAGGTCAACACTTTAATCTCATGCTCTGCCTTCAGGGGATATTTACTCACTGTTGTTGAACAACTTGCGTTTTCAGATGTAAGCACAGCATCTTCAGCATTAGGCCGACAGGCCTGGAAACTGGAGTCCAATTTTATTACAAATGAATTTGTCACAACATGTGTAGGAGTTGACTCAAAATTGAAGGCTACAGAACTTGACTGTTTTTAATTTAAAAGTCAGAGAATGCCAGGGGAGCTCATTTGTTTACTCTGTGTGTTTGAAGTCAGAAATGGAAGCAATCTTTACTACGAATGGGCAAGAAGGGCCAACGTGCCCAATTTCAGTTCCAGTGTTACCTCAACCAGTGGTTCCCATTCCTGGCTGTGTGAAGAAAGAATTCATCAGAGAGTTTATTTATTTATTTATTTATTTTAAATAGTGATACCAAGATTCCATTACATAGCAATTATATAAAAGTCTCAGGTTGAGGGGTTTAGGTCATAGTATATTTTGTCACTGTATTTTATTTTGAGTGTGCTGTGCACATACATTAATTTTTGAAACTATAAACAATTTCAATGTAACACAATTTTTATAGCTAGCTTTTCCATTTCTTAACTTGCTTTTTGTAATAATATATCAAGGCTCTTAAAAAAAAATGGGTGTGATCACGGTTTCTCTTGACATTTGAAAGGCCCTGTCTCAGTTTCTCACCCAAACCTCATCCTAGCCAATCTTGACTAATTTCTATGCTATTCCCCTGTCTAATCTCTGAGTAGCTCCAGGACATTACTAGTGGATGAAAGATGGCTACAAAATTGTAACACTCCTCCTCTCATGGTGAGGTCTATTTCCCCTCCCCTTGAATCTTGGCTGTCCTATAACTGCTTTGACCAATGAAGCATGGTAGAAGTGATGATGTTTCAGTTCCAAACTGAGTCTTTAAGAGCCTGGAGCCACCATTTAAGAGTCTGACTGCTATCCTGCTAGAGAGACCCCAGGGAGAAATCTTGAGATTACATGGAGCGGGAAAGAGTTCTGGTTGTGCTCACCCTTCCCGTCATCCCTACCAAGATGCCAGCAGACAGTGAGGCCATTTTGAATCTTCCAGCCCAGCTCGGCTTCCAGCTGAGTGACCCCAATTAACACCACATGGAGAAAAAGCACCACTTGGCTAAGCCCTGTCTGAATTCCTGACCCACAATATTGCAATTTATAATAAAATGGTTGTGGTTTTAAGCCACTGAGCTTTGGGGTGGTTTGTTATGCAGCAACAGATAACTAATGAAAGTGTGGTTGCAGTGACCAGTAGGGTCAGCGTCACCTGGGAGCTTATTAGAAATGCAGGTTCTTGGGCTTGACCTCAAACATACTGGATCACAATGTGCATTTTAATAACATCCCTAGGTTATCTGTATACACATTTAAGCTTGAGAAGCACTGGCATAGGCTACCTTGGCTGCCAAAGACACCCTAGTTAAGCTGCAGACTGGCAGCCTGGCTTCCAAACATGGGACTGGAACGAGGGTTCTTCATGCATATCGCATTCCACACAGGCTCTGTACGAGGTGCTGGCTCAGGCACTGTGAGGATACAAACGCTAATGGCTCTTCTTGTTTGTCTATTAGATTATAGTCCTTTTAAGTAGCGTTCCTTCATTCCTGAAAACTATCTTAAAAGCTCCTTGAAAGGTAGACCAAGTCCTAAGCCATTTTGAAATTCCCAAAGAACCTTTCACAGCACTGAGATTTTAAAAGTCATAATTGAATGGATGGAAGAAGGATCTAAAAAGAAAAAGAAACAAGTGCACCACCCTGCTAAAAATGGGAGCAAAGTGTCCTTTGTCTACTTTTAATACATTAGGTTACAAGAAAACAAAATGGTATATGCTTTATAAAGTTTCTTTTTTTTAAATTTTTTTCTATTTAAGTTTTGCTTTGCATCAACATAAAGGCCATTAGTCAAATAAGTGTTAGCAGCTCATTTAGCACAGTTTGTTATACAGAATCAACTACATGAAATACGAGCACTAACTACAGCCCAGGTATCATACTAAGTATTAAGGATATAGAGATGAATATAAAGACCCAGCCCTGCCTTCAAGGTGCCCAGTCCAATGAAGGAGATGGATTCACAAACATAATTTTAAGATAATATAGGAAGGCAATATAATTTCAGGATTGGTGGGGATCATAAAAAGTTCCATATAATCAATCCTTGAATCTCTAATAAAATATGAAGTGTCAGAGCCATTAGTGATGGGGAACTCTCTGCCTCCTGAGGAGTCCCACTGGATTTTTGAAGAGCTCAGATTTTTACAGTTTTCTTATACTGAACGAAAAATCCAAGTCCCTTCTACTTACTGATCCTAGGCCTAGCATCACCGAGGCAACACAAAATAAGCATGTCTGATTTCCCCTCTTTTCTCAGTAGCATAGAAGCCTAGGAGGGATTGGAAAAGGAAGAGATTCCTTGTGTTTTACATAAGCGATATAGTAAATGTTCTCTCCCTCAAAAAAAAAAAAAGAAGAAGCCTAGGAGTGAAGACAGTGGAATGGAGCAGAGAGGAATCTGAAGTAATCCAAATGGGAATTATGCCACGTCAAACATAAAAACAAACTAAAGAGAAATGAAAAGCAAACAAACAAAACTAATAACGTCAGCACTGTTGTATAAATTTCTTTAGCAGTGTCATGCTGCCTCAGAACCAGTACAAAGAGAGAAGCTTAGAGATCCAGAGCTTGAGACAGGACACCTAGCAGAAATGCATGGGAGCATCTCATTTTAATTCAATAAATACAATAAATACTGTGTGACTACCTACTGTGTACCAAATCAGGGAAGCATTTAGGGAACTATTACTAGTCTTTGGAAAGAACTTGCTTATAAATATTTCTATTTCATCTCAGTAAAATTAGCTTCCTAAAGTGACTCACGCACATAAATCTGACTTTACAAAAAAGTCTTACCTTTGCAAACTTTGCAACAGCTATGAGACAAGGTAATCTGATGAGACTCTGGACAATCCAAAGCTGGGCAGCCTGAACTCTCCACCAGCTTCATAGTCTGGTCCTGTGAGACAAAAGAAAACAAATGCTTCAAACGTCTTAATTAGGACTTACTGAGAAGTTTCCAGACCCAACATCTGAGATGGCTCTTCAAACATGAGATTAAAATTTTTTATCCTGAGAACCTCTGAGAGCACAGGTCACAGGCTCATTCATGAAATGACATTAAATTACAACTGGAAAGCCTTCAAAATGGACAAGCAGAACTTGGAAAGCACTTTAAAATGAATACTGCAGCCATGTGTACCATTTGCCAAACATCTGGGTAATCCTGAAAAATTCTGTTAGTTTTACGATATATTTTCACATCCAGATGACAACTGTGGCAAAGATACAGCTTGAATTAGAACTACAGCTCACTGAAAAAAAAATAATAATAATAAAAACTGAGCTTTTTAAACATTCTCATTTCAAAATTTCCTAAACTGTTATAAAGAGATTCTCATGGGTGAGTCTGGTAAAGATATTGGGGCTCTCCAAAAAAAACCACAAGGGAAATAAGGACAGGATTTACATCTCTTGTGAACAAATGCCTAGCGTATTTTCTGGCACATAACTGGCACTCAAAAAAATTTAGTGGATGAATGAAAAAACTCAATGTAATATTATTATACTTCTAGCAACCAAAGTAGATAAAATCCTCCTCAAGGAGAAACCAAAATACAAAATGCTTTTCTGATAAATGTAGTAACCTTGCCCTTAAAGCAAACATTTGGCTTCTACATTATCAATCTCTAATCTCTTAAGAATAGGATCATTTAGTATGTTATAGTATGCTTGCCAGTACATGAGTAATAAAATAACTGTTAAAACTTACAGGCTTCCATTTAATACAGTTCACTAGCTTAAGATTTTTAGATGTCATTTCTACAAGAACTGCTTTTATGGAAGATGCACTCATTTCAATATCTCCCTCTTTCTGGCGTATCAATGAAAAAGACCTCCAAATCATCATAATCTCTTATCGAGAAAGCAGGAGATGTGTATACAGTGGAGTCAAATGCTAGTCTCCCTTTGGCTTGGCAGTAATATCCATCTTGTAATCTTATTTTCAGAACCAGTGTTTTTCTGTGTTACTATTAAAGTCACAGCCTCCCAGGACATGTTTTCAAGGCCACAACACTGACAATAAAGGAAAAAAGAAGGACAAGAATTGACAGCCCAGAAAATGGAAGCATGAAAGAGCTGTCAGTTATGTAAAGGTGCAAATACAGAACCTAAGGAGCCTAAAGGGAGCAAAAACAATGGGAGTCCTCACTGTCAAGAATTTAGCCAAGAACTACAAAAGCTTGTGATAATCCAGGAGAGCTGTGCTGTATAATCAATAGCCATTAGCTCCATGTAGCTCTTGAACACTGCAAATGTAAAAGACACACAAGATTTTGAAGACTTAGTATGACAAAAGAATGGAAAATATTTCATTAAGAATTCTATATTAATTACATGTTAGTAATATTTTGGATATATGGGGTTAAATATAGAAAATTTAGCCCCCAAAAAAGTAAATGTGTGGCTTGCATCATATTTCTATTGGACAGCACAGCATTAGAGGGTGGGAAATGGTGCCTTTTGTCTGAGTACATAAAAGGTAACATCCATTCATTCACCCAATATTTACAAAATACCCACTAAGTTGTCTAAACAGACTCCTCACTAAACCAATTTAAAATGAAAGCGTTTTGTAGCTATTTTAAAGTCAAATAGGCAACTATCCAATAAATGTAAAGCACAATTATCAATATTATGGAACACACTGAGTCAGGTGAAAAGAATACACACACATACACATTAGGTAGAGAAACTTGAAATGTCCTCAAGATTTTTAAATTTAGAGCTGATATTTCAAATTTAGAGTTTACCATTAGAAACCAGTAGACAAAAGTTTTCTACTTTCCTTGAAGTAACTTTTCTCTGACTCCATTTTCTCAACACGGAGTCATTAGATCTCACTCTAAGTCTTCCAATTCTTATGTCTATAATGGGACCTACTCCACTCAAAACAGCATTGGTGTAGAGGAAAAACTGATGATTGATAGATGGGAGAGGGGCTGAGGGATGGGGGAGAAGGTGAAGGGAGTAGAAAGTACAAATTGGTAGTCACAAAATAGTCATGGCAATGTGAAATAAAGAATGGGGAATACAATCAATGTTGTAAAGACTACATAGGGTGTCAGACGGGTATGGACTTGTAGGAGGGATCAAGTCATGAATTATATAAATGCCTAACCACTGTGCAGTACACATGAAACTAATATAAAATAACATCGAATGTCAACTATAAATATATACATATACATATATATATTCACAGGATGTAGAGTACAACATAGGGAATACAGTAGATGGTATTGTAATAGCTATGTATGATGTCAGAGGGGTAGTAGACGTGGGGGAAGGGTTAGTACTTTGTGAGGGGTGTAAATGTCTGATCATTATGTTGTTTTGTACATCTGAAACTCATAATAATAAAAAGCTGCATTTGTGTAGGATTGCTGATAGAAAACTATCCATCTTAAAATACAGTTCAGCGATTCATGTTAATAATGTTCCTATGCTTCAGCTCCTTTATCTTTAAGATGATAATCTACATCATAGGAGAGCCTATTTAAAGCCAAAAGCAGCAGCTAGAATACTTCATAATGGGCATGAATTAGAGCTTTCATGTTCTGGAAATCAAATCTGTCACAGTTTTGCCTCTTTACATCCCCTCTTTGCTTATCCCAAAGGTTTTCCAATTTAAGATGCATGAAGTATGTAGCTGGTTTTTGTCATATTCAATTTATTTTGGCAAAATGCTTAGGGTTTTCCTTTCCCCAACACTTAATATTAATGTAAATACTCATAGTTTATTGGTGGTGCCAGCAGAGTAAATCACTTACCTTATTTGTCTACATAATCTATACATACTAAATCATCCCAAAACCCATGTATGGAAGGCATTTCAAGAGGAAAATTAAGAATCAAATGAAATGCAGAAAATTTATAGGTTGACAATTTCCTTCAGATAGAATATGGTTTAGACTATAACATGGTCAGGAAATATAACCTTATAGTTCATAAAAAGCAAATATGAAAAGTGTTATGAAACATATTTAGTTTTTCAATTAGTAGATCAAGAAGCAAAGTTAAAAAGAATCACATTAGCCTTAGAAGCATACTTCAAGAGACCAAGGCAGTAAATTTATAAAGAATTCTCCTTCAAATCACATAAAGCATTCCCCCCAAAGTGATTAAGATCAGTATCAGTCTCATCTTAATCCAACAGCTAATTTTTATTAGGTGATTTTTATGTTTTATTTTAGTTGGACTTAGTGATATTTCTCACATTGGTGAAAACCATGAATGACAATGGGCTGAGTCTATCTCTATCTACATTTTCTTTACAACAGAAAACCAGGAGCTGATTTAAATTTGGAAAATATATAAGACGACTTCATAAAACTTTAATTTGACAAAAGAGCATTTTTATTTACTGGCAAAATTATTTTACAACCATTAATTTACATGTTTTCAAAAATAATGGGAATCCCTATACATTTAAACTATAATTAATATCTTAAATTTTCTCCTTGCCTGAGATTTTTTTAAAAGTATTACAAGGGTGAGATTTTAAAGAAACTTTTACTATAGATAACTGAAAGAAGTTTGAAAAATTCATGAAAAGTGTCCTTACCTTGCACTCATAGAGAACACATACGCCAGAAGAGGAATAGACTGTATTTCTTTCTCCCTCAAAGTAGGTGCGTCCTTGAAATTGGCATATTGCTTTGAAATAAAAAAATACATATATTTTTTTTTCCTTAGAAAAACTGCTTAAGCTTTCAAATTATTCTGCAACAATATTTTATATAGTCTCATGCCTTTTCAAGGTGTTGGAGTAATTACAAACCAAAATTCAATCTAACATAAGGCACACACAGGCTCAAGTTATTACCATGCCTATTAAGTTCAAAGAGTAAAATAAGGTACAAAAAGGATAAGGGGAGCTATCCAGTCAGAATTAGACTCTGAAAAAGGAGTGCTGATGAACAGACTCTCAGCCAATTATTTGTCTGCTAAATGATGTCCCACTTAGGGCATATTAAGCAGGTGTTTAGAACAGCTACAAATCAGGGCAACACAAATACGAGAAAAGTTCATTTTTATATACCATTACAGAATTTTTAAAACAGAAAATTAGAAAGAAGCTACATGAATTTCAGCACATACATATAAATTTTGTTTTATGGGTTAGTATTTTTTTTTTTTTCCTAGCTGAGCCATTCTGCTACCTGTTGGCAGCTCAGCTCAGGCCAGGACTCGAACCGCTGTGGCTCAGAGCTCACACTCTTGAGCGAGCTCCTAACCAACTGAGCCACTCGGCCGGCCCAGGTTAGTATTTATTTATAAGTACAAATAGGGCACCTTATTTAGGATGTTGAAAGGTCTTAATCTGGGCCGGCCTTGCTTCCATCATCATTAAATAAAATTTTAAAACAGAATTTCAGACTTGATGGGGAAAACAATTTTTTTAATTAGTGAAAATGCATAGAAAGTATCAAATAATTTTTGAGACTTTCAAAGTATTTACAATTCACACAAACATTTAGCCAAAGGAAATTGTTTGCTTGTTTTGAAATAAACGTTTTGCCCTATCCATGTTGATTGCATCACCTAAATAGACAAATTTACCCTGAAGCTAATGAAGCTTAACCTTTAGTATCCATCTCTGGCTTAGACCCTATCTACGACACTGAACTAATTTTTGTTTTCATAATTTTGTATTGTTTTTCTTTGAAAGGGCACTCAATATTGTAGACGCTTTGAAGCCCCTTAACGTCAACATCACCCCAAGCTAATTACTTCAAAAGACCAGTGGCAGTGATCATCTGACAGGAAAAGACTCAAGCAGTTTGTCAGTTCTATTTACTAAATAATCTAATTTTCAATTTTAACTACACGATTTTACAAAATGGATGTGTAAGTTTCCTTTTCATTTCATTTTAAGAATTATAAGACAGGCTTTTCCTCTTGAGAATATATACGTATATATATATACTCCTATTACCTTTAAAGTATCAAGTTGCATATAATAATGTGTAATAGAGAAATTACATACTTTTATTAATAATATTAAATATATATATAGTTGTACAAATATTCATATTTAAAGTGTAACCCCACTGTTACCTTCGCTGAAAAATTAACCGATTATGTAAAAGCTGCACATTTAAATAATGGAAAGCACGCAAATTTTTAAAACGCCATCCTTCAGCTGATCTCCTTACTCAGCTTTTATTAAAAATTTCACTACATAATATATAGTGAATTGATTTTAATGTTTTGGAGTGTGCTAGAAAAGAATACAACTCACTTGCATAAATTATATTGCTTAATTCGCTGAAGCTTGCTCACTCATGAATATTCAAATTGAAACCACAGATTTGTCAGTTGCATACTATCTGTCATGTTATGAATTAAAATAGCATGTGCATTTACTTAATAAACCTGCTCTTTTTTTCCCCCTGTGTGATCCAGTAACCTCAAAATACCAAGATCTGGCACACTGTGTTTTCAATTACACTTAATAAGTACCACATTTTATAGATTAATGAGAATAAATAAAACCTTCTTACTTCTATTCAGCACCTGCCATTCAAAGGTTTCTATGCCTATTATATGACTTGATAACTGCAGCCTATTTAAGTCCAAGGGTCTGATGGAAAAAAAAAAAAGTGATGCTCCAAGTCTTTCTTAGACCAGAGGGGAAAGGAAACACTGTAAAAAACGCAAGGGTAAGTTCTCCCTATATAAAGTCTTATAATAATTTAATATTCATGCAGAGCAGATGGACCTTCTGTTCCAAACTCTTAATTCAAAAGACTCAGATAGGCAACTTGTGGGACAATAGGGCACCAAATGGAGCTTGGCAGAGGGAGAAAGCACAAAAACGAACGAGATCACAGTTGCTTCATTTCCTTTCAAGCAATGAGCACAAACAGGGTGAACTTGGCTTAGGGAGAACCCAAAGTGACTGATTTTCATCTTGAACTCAGAAAATCTATAATCATTCCTAAAAATATTACAAGGAATCCTAAAAATACCATTAGGATGGCTCCACGACTTAGGAGTAAATGGAAGGGGGTAAAAGACATATTAATTTATTAATACATTTAACAAACTGAGCTCCTACTATATGTTGGTAGTCTGCTAGGTACTAGGATTTGAGGATGAATTACAAAGCTGTCTATTTAGGATAAGTACATTTTATGTACATTTTATATATATGTTATACTTTCATAATAAAATAATGAAAAGAAATACATATTCTTATGTTTAAGAGAAGTAATAACAATAATAATTAATTGAATGATTTACTGGAATAAATGAAGGAGACATAATTCATGCTCTCACCATTTAGTAGGGCAGACAGACTTATACAAAACTAACTACAAAAAAAGCCAAACTGAAGTGCTTTAATTAGAAATTCCTAAGCTATATGTAAACACAGGAGACTGAATAGTGAACTTCTAAGAGGGGGCAACAGGATCAAGGCTGAGGAAACAAATAAAGGCTGGTGAAGAAGCCATTCTCTGGCAAGCAGGAAATCAGCATCACCTTCGGGCTAAGGAACAAGGAAAATAAATGGTTTTCCTGGAGCCCAACGTGAGACAGAGTTATGCAGGAGAGGCTACGTAGTGAGTGTAATCATGAGACACAGCTACTGCCAGAAACACAGGCTGGTGCAGAGAAGGAGCAGGGAAGAAACATGGCCAGCTCTCTCTTCTCCTGCCTTCCAACTTCCTGCCAGTGCCTCCCACTGGCAAACCCTACCCAATGCCAGCTGGCAAGGAGACAGGGTGGTGCAGTCTGCGGTCTGGCTCCTGGAGCACAGAACAGGGCACAGGAGGAAAGAGAATGGAACTGGGAGCATAGGGTACACAGGAAGAATAACATCACCTAGCACGGGTGGCTATCATAATAATTCCCTTTGGACCAGAAGAGGTCTGGTTTACAAGGATAGGTTGCTTCGTAGGGCATGAGACAGTGGAACACAAAACAAGTAAATGTTAAGAGAAAACATTGAGACATTTTAAAAACGTAGATCCACCCTAAGGAAAAACCCAGACAGCTTATCAAAATGAGGTCCACCAGCAAGCAGGAGGCCAGCCAAAGGAACTGAGCCCTGGAGAGATCGAGGTCAAAACAGCGAGGAAGGCAGACTACGCCCACACCCTGATCTTAACCAAAGCCGCTCCTACAAGTATGGGGAACAAACCCTCCGAGATACTAATAATCACTGTGGCTACCATAATGGCTGCAAGGAAGTCTTTAGAATCCCCTAACTGAAATGTACCTGTCTGCTTACCTTTCTATAATGGAGTATAAAGTAATCGCTTGTCTACAAAACAACGAAGAAAAAATCATTTTGCTGTATTGATTTCTTGTTTAATTCAATTGTATTCACATGTTCATAGTCAGAGGCTTCATTGCTTTCTTAGTAGTGTGTGTATGTGTGTGTGTGTGTGTGTGCGCGCATGCAGACACATGTATTTGCGTGTGTATATACAGCACTAACTTTCTTGTGATATCACTCTGGATTCCTATGCCACAAATCATTTACTAGCTTAGAGCAGAATTATATCAACTAAGCTACATTTTCAAAGATCTATGTTTAAATGATTTATTGAGTATATGCATGTAAATATTACATATGTGTTTTAAGATACGAAGTTTCTAGGGAAATGGATATCAATTCATGCTTACAAGCTTATTAGTATGTAGACTAAGAAGCTAGGCCCCCATGAAATAAGACTAACCCATAGCACTACAGCTACTCTTAAGTTATTAACATGAACCAATGTTAAATGCATTTTCACTATGACTCTGGTATATGCTGCTGTGTGCAAACTCCAGGAGGTAACATTCACATCACAGTCTATGTGAATTATGTCACCCAGAGCTGTCCAGTGCACACCCTCTTCAGCTATAGAAGGGGACAAAATTAGAACTTGGGGAAATTCAATGGAATGATATAATACCTCGTATATATGTTTTACTAAGGCTATATTGAACCTCACTGATTACATAGTTACTAGTACCATAATTAAGAGAGAATCTGCAAAAGCAATTAATTTGAATTATTTTCACTTGATTTTCCCCCAATTTTAACAATTAACAAGAATTAGGAAGATGGGAAATGGTATAGACACAAATTTGAAAGTCATCAGCTATAAAAAAAAAAGTGAAAGGTAATTTATAGCACAGATTGAGAAACAGGTAAGTGAAAGAAGCCAGTAAAACTCAAAAAGTCCTAAAATACACACACATTGCAATCCTGACCTACTGGTCATTAATGCAGAGATAGAAAATGCAGATCCCTCTAAGAAGATTTAAATCAACTTCCACAAACCTTTGTAGAAAGAATTATACAAATCTATAGAAGAAATATTTTAGAATATAAACGCAAAAGGCCATTATATCATATTTCACTTCAAAACATTTCCTCAGTACACATTTAGCTTTTCCTTTTTATTATTGGATTGAAAACACATGAATCTATTTTAAATGTCCCAACTGGTATCAGCACCTTTAAAAATGATCCAACACAAAATTAAAAGTTATAGATACGAAGAAAAAAAAAGTATAATTCACTTAGGTGAGGAATGAAATTTAAGGTTTCTTTAAATTTCTCTTTGAGAACACCATGTGTCAGTGAACTTTAGATTATTTAAGCCATCTGTTAAAAACAGAGCTGTATATAATAGTAGCTTTTATATGGTGTT